TGTATATATATATATATATATTATGAAGCTGCTTTTACAGTAATTTAAAAAAAACTTATAACAAATGAAAATCATATTTACAAAAAATTATAATTGTTCTAAATAAATCCTAAATTATCCATTATTTCAAGCAAAATAATATCACTTACAATAGTTTATATAAGATCGCTTTTCTCCATTTTCTTTTGGAAAATTTTGAGGGCTTAGTCAAATCTATAAAAAAAAAAGAGTGTGTACATGAGAAATGTCAGCCATTGACAAGAAAAAATTGAGGCTTGACAAAATATGATAAAAGAAATCAAAACAAAATATGACAAAAAAAAATGAAGTAATAACACAAAAGGAAAGAAAAATGACTAAGGTCAAGATTCAAGACAAGAAAAATATCTATCATATAGCATAATAAGATCTCCTTTGTTTCCCCAAAACCGTCCAAAAGGAGGAAGGCAGGAGTCATCATCGTCCAGTGGCCCAAAAAAAGCCTGTCGAGCAAAATTTTGCTAAAAAGAGACCGAAGGCAACAAAAAATTGCAGAGAAACACCTTCCGGGGCTGCAGTGATTCAACAATCGAATAAGTCGAGAGCCTTGTAGCAAGTAAGATTTCTCCCAACAACAGAATGATGAAGAACAGGTACCCATAGCCAAATGCAAAATTCAACAAGATTACCGTTCATAAAATAAAGCAAGAACATCTCAGCCCTAAAACAACTCCAGATATTAAAAAAGAACAACCCATAGGAAGCGAGTTATCGGGAATAACTGATGTTAAACTTCTCATTAATAAATCTCCCACCTTTCCATTTATCCAGTTTAAGGTAAATAGCTCTAGTAATCTTTTTAGACACAGTGATAGCATGCACAAACAGCCTTAGTATTAAACCTTATGCTATTATGTTCCACCCAAATAAAGTAAACAATGACATTAAGAATTAGGAGATAGCCATTCTTCACCTTACCTTATGATCAATCTCAAAACCAACAATATGTTCTAAGGTTTGGATAATGTTTGGCCTCAAAAAGAACTTACAAAATAGAGGCAATAATTTTACCATAACATGAAAAGTATAGTCACATTCAAAAAAGCAAGTGAGCAATAGTTTCAAAAATCACGTTGCAAAACGAACACATGTGATCTAAAATCGAAATATTCCTTTTAGAAAGAACATCGATAATTTTAAGTCCCCCTCTTAAAGTCATCCACGTGTATACATAATATCTCAGAGAATGATTGATGTGACAAACCAAATTGAACCAATCATAAGTAATGTCATTCACAAAAAATTCTAAATAAACCTTTGAAGGGAACACAATCAAGATGATCCCAAGTGATGTGTTTTGAAAAATTGATATAACCTATTTCAAGAATTGAAGCCTCTATGAATAGAAATCCATGGATTGGATAGAATCTCACTACAAACTTTAACAGAAACCGTAGTCATTGTCTCAATACTGATGTCAGCATTACAAATGTTAGCAATAGATCGCATGTGATTTATGTCATACTTATATAGAGACCTACAATGCGTTTCAAAAATTCGAACATGAAAAAAAATGCAAATCATACATAAATGAAACAACTCAATCTTGAGAAGAATAAATTTGAATAAAAATTCAAGAAACTTATCATTGATTTGAGGCAGGCCCAGTCATCGACTAGAGGCAACCCTGTCTTTCAAACTGCACTAAGGACTTGTATGCATTTCTCTTATCCAAAGAGAAGCTTCCCTATGTAGTTTATACTATTATCTACATGCATGCGATGGGTCATTATATCAAGCAGTTCTTTCTATACATCAAGTTTTTTGAATGATCCTTCAGGTGAATTAATGAGATGTTACAAGAAAAAAATAACTGGTCTCAGTAGTCTACAAAAAAAGTACCCATACCATATGTATATCTCATACCATTAATGAATAAGGTCTGCATCACGCTGGTTCACAGCACTTCATATAAATGAAAGAAATTTATCCTAAAAAATGGAGTTATCATTAGTAGAATTTGAGCCAATGCACAGAAAATTTTTTTCCTCACTAATATCAAACTTGTCATATTGTATTACATAAGAATCATGATAATACGCATTATCAACTAATGTCCTTTTCTTGACCTGCAAATGTTAAAAAATATACTATATATATACTTAACTTACTTGACCTGTGAATGTTAGAAAGGAGAATATATAAGCTTAACTTAGTAAGTTGCATATGTTAAACATAATAAAAAATGAGAGACTCGTACTAGTTTGTACTGCTGTCTCAGAATTTTGGTTCTTAGATTAAGAATGTCGCTACCCATCCAAGAAAAGTTATTATATTAAATCAGCACATCAAAAAATTAAAACAATACAAAATTGTAGCAAGATTATTAATGCAAGTATTAATTACAAAATTTAGCTATGAATGCTTTAACTTTTTATTACAATCTCCTTTTTAATAATGCAATACACTAGTATGTATTAGACTTACAATAGCTTGTAATAAAGAGTGAAACCAGCAACAGTTAGATTTTGTAATTGATACTTGCAGTAACAACCTTTCTAATATTTTTTCATTGTTTTAAATTTTTGATGTGCTGATTTAATATAATAAGTTCTTTTGGGTGGGCAACAACATTCATAATCTCAAAACCGAAATTCTGAGACACCTATACAAACTAGTAAGAGTCTCTCACTTTTTATTATCTTTAACATATATAACTTACTAAGTGAAGCTCGTATATTCTGCTTTCTAACATTCGCAGGTCAAGTAAGTTAAACTTATATATTCTATTTTCTAACATCGCAAGTCAGGACAAGGACAACATTTGATAATACGTATAATCATGGTTCTAATATCATGTAATATGATGAGCTTGGTATCAACGAAGAAAAAATATTTCATGTACATTAACTCAAATCCTACTAATAACAACTCTACTTTCATTGGGAATAATAATTATCTTCCGTTAACATCAAATGTTGTGAACTAGCGTGATGCAGACATCGTTTATTACTGACATAAAGTAGGCATATATTATGGGTACCTTTTCTTGTAGACCACTGAGATCGGCACCTTTTCTTTTTTTTGTAATGGTTCATTAATTCAATGAAGGATGATCCAAAAACCTTGATGCACAATAAGAACTGTTTGATATAATGACACATCGCATGCATGTAGATAATAATATAAACCTCATAATGAAGCTTATCTTTGGATCAGAGAAAGACATACAAGTCCTTAGTGCAATTCGAAAGACAGTGCAGCCTCCGGCCAACAACTAGGTCTACCTCTAATCAATGATAAGTTTTTTGAACTTCTATTCAAATTATTCCAACCCAAGATTTAGTGGCTTCATTTATGAATGATTTATATTTCCTTCTTTAGGTTCGGATTTTTAAAATGTATAGTGAATCTCTATGTCAATATGGCATGAAGCACATGCGCTCTATTGCTAACATTTATAATGCTGACATCAGCAATGAGACTGACTAAGATGTATGTTAAAGTTTGCAGCCATATTTTATCCACTCCATGGAGTTCTCTTCATAGATGCTTCAATGTCTAAAATGGGTTATATCAATCATTCAAAACACATCACTTGAGATAATATTGATTGAGTTCCCTTCAAAGATTTTTTACTTAAAATTTTTTTTTGTGAATGATAACACTTATGATTGGTTCAATTGGGCTTGGCATAAAAATT